CCTGGCCGCCTTCCTCCGGGACGAGCAGGCCCAAATGAAGCCCATCTTCTCCTTTGCGGGGCACATGGGCGAGGGCTTTGCCCTTGACTGGTCCCCCCGGGTGCCTGGTGAGTCCCTGCGGTGTTCAGGAGTCCCTTCAGGGGAGGCGGGGGAGCAGGGTCTGCATCGAGGTGGGGGCACTTAGACTCCAGGGAGGGGAGCGAACTGCAGGCAGCGGGGGGCGCGGTCATTTCCTGACTCCCTTCGCCAGGTCGCCTGCTGACCGGTGACTGTCAAAAGAACATCCACCTCTGGACACCCACAGACGGCAGCTCCTGGCGCGTGGACCAGCGGCCATTCGTGGGCCACACGCGCTCTGTGGAGGACCTGCAGTGGTCCCCGACCGAGGACACGGTGAGGGCGGGCTGGGGGTCTGCTCATCGAGTTCTGACGGGGTTCGTGCCAGGGACCTAGAATCCTGGGTCCAAGGGAAAAGAGCTGGGAGCTTGGCGGAGATGTAGTTTCCACGCCAAGTGCTAGGAAGGGGGACAGTGAAAGAGAGTAGCCCCCTCCTGGCGCCTGGGCTTCACCGTGGGCCGTGGGCCGTGGGGCGTCGGGGCCACTCAGACTCCGCCCTGCCTAGGTGTTCGCCTCCTGCTCAGCTGACGCCTCCATTCGCATCTGGGACATCCGGGCAGTCCCTAGCAAGGCCTGCATGCTCACCACAGCCACCGCCCATGACGGGGATGTCAATGTCATCAGCTGGAGCCGCCGGGAGCCCTTCCTGCTCAGTGGCGGGGATGATGGGGCCCTCAAGATCTGGGACCTTCGGCAGTTCAAGGTACTTTCCCAGCCTGACACCTGGGAGCTCGAGAAGCTTGCTCCCAGCAGGCCCTGGAGTTTGTAGGATTTTTCCTCCTTGAGTGGTTTTATACACCCAGAGCTGCGAAAGCCCTTAGAACTAGATTCCCGCCTCTTCATTGTCCAGATGAGGAAACTGAGGCTCAGCAAGAGGAAGGGTGCCGGCCCTCCACTCGGGGTCACTCATTCTGCCAGGGGAACAGCTGACGAGATGGAAGGGCCAGGGCAGCAGAGACTGCGGCCCCCATCTGCCCATGGGGAGAAGTACAGCTGTCTGTATGACCCGTGCTGAGAGCTTCAGGGAGTTAGAGATTTGTAGATGCAGCTGAGGATGGGGGCCCAGCTCGCTCGTGGTAGGAGGACTGAGGCACAGAAAGGACAAGAGCTGGTGTGACATGACAGCCAAGCCAGGGGTGACGTTGTGGAGCTGGGAGAGGCACTGGGCCAGAGGCCCAGCAGCGTCTGGCATCCCTCTGGACAAAGCCACAGCTTTGTGTGGCTCTGCCTTCCTGGGCTGCCATCATGGCCTCCTTTTCCCCCTCCAGTTTGATCATGTTTATAGCACCAGCCCTGGGGAGGAGCCTAGAGATGGATTCCATCCCCCTGGCCCACCAGGGCACAGGGTCAGGCTTCTTGGCCATGGAACTTCAGAGCTGCCTCTCCTGATGAGAGCGAGGCCGGTTCAGCGGGGCCTGTGCTGTGGTGAAAGTGCTGTCAGTCTTAGTCTTCCTTTGGGTCGGCTTCCAGGGCTTGTGTCTCTGCCCGCTTTGAGGCCTTTGTGGGCTCTGCCGGGGGAGCCCTGGGAGAGCCATGCCCTCTTTTTGTTGTTGTTTTGAGACGGAGTTTCACTCTTGTTGCCCAGAATGCGATGTCGTGAGCTCAGCTCACTGCAACCTCTGTTTCCCGGGTTCAAGCGATTCTCCTGCCTCAGCCTCCTGACTAGCTGGGACTACAGGTGCATACCACCACACCTGACTAATTTTGTATTGTTAGGAGAGATGGGGTTTCACCATGTTGTTCAGGCAGGTCTTGAACTCCCGACTTCAGGTGATCGGCCTCCCTTGGCCTCCCAAAGTGTTGGGATTACAGGCGTGAGCCACCTCTCAGGTTTTGTGACCCAGGTTTCAGAAGGGCTTCTTTGCAGGTGAACCCCAATTCCCAGCAGCCCCTGAGCTGGTCAGCCTTCTTAGCAGCCAGAATTACCCTGTGTCCCTTTTCTGGACTCTGGGCTTGTGAGGGCTTAAGGGGTGGGGCCCTGGCCGAACCCTGAGTCTGGAGAGGGGTTGGGGTTGGGGTTGGGGTTGGGGTTGGGGTTGGGGTTCTGCCTGGGCCGTCCCCCAGGAGTCAGGCTGAGGCATTCAGAGCCATCATTCCCATCCTGTCCCTGTAGTCTGGCTCTCCCGTGGCCACCTTCAAGCAGCACATGGCCCCCGTGACCTCCGTCGAGTGGCATCCCCAGGACAGCGGGGTCTTCGCAGCCTCGGGTGCAGACAACCAGATCACACAGTGGGACCTGGCCGTGGAGAGGGACCCTGAGGCGGGCGACACAGAGGCCGACCCCGGGCTGGCCGACCTCCCGCAGCAGCTGCTGTTCGTGCACCAGGGCGAGACGGAGCTCAAGGAGCTGCACTGGCACCCGCAGTGCCCGGGGCTCCTGGTCAGCACCGCGCTGTCGGGCTTCACCGTCTTCCGCACCATCAGTGTCTGAGGCGCCCAGCGGCTCCGCTGCTCCTGCTTTCTGCTTGGAAACTGCTGTTGCCTTGGGCTCCCCGGGAAGGGGTTCCTTCAGCTCTGTGGACTGGGACTGGCCGGCCCGTGGGCTGCCGTGACGGTTCTGTTTGACGGATTGTTCTCTAGAAGGCCTGGGTGTCATGCAGTGACCCCTCTCACCAAAGACCTCAGCCTGACCCGGGCTCTGTAAGGCCGCTCCCTCCCAGAGACTGGTGTGGCCTGCCTGTGGGTGCATTCCTTCCTGTGAGCGTGACCCGTTTACCTCTGCCCCAGAACCCAGTTTTTCGTTGGTTTGTTTGAGACAGAGTCTTGCTCTGTCGCCCAGGCTGGAGTGCAGTGGCACGATCTCGACTCACTGCAGCCTCCGTCTCCCGGGTTGAAGTGATTCTCTCGTCTCAGCCTCCCGGGTAGCTGGGATGACAGGCACCCGCCACCACGCCCGGTTCATTTTTTGTATTTTTAGTAGAGACAGGGTTTCACCATGTTGGCCAGGCTGCTCTCGAACTCTTGACCTCAAGTGATCCGCCTGCCCCAGCCTCCCGAAGTGCTGGGATTCCAGGCGTGAGCCCTGTGCCCTGCGCAGGACCCGGTTTTGTCTGTTGGTTCCCAGGAGGGAACTCAGGGCCTATGCAGTGGCTGCGTCAAATGTGAGGTGTGGGTTCCTCCAACACAGTTTGGTTCTGTCCCTTGTCTTCCGGACAGCTGGGTTTGGCCAGGATTTCCCAGTGTGGGGGCTCCTCTCCTCCCTGACCAGAGGCCGGTGCTGTGTGGGAGGAAGCTGGGCTCCTGGGCAGCAGTAAACGACCAGGAAGAGATCTGTGCTGAGACTGGTCCTTTGGTCACAGCCCCGTGAGAAAACTGGGGGGAGTTTGAGGGCAGGGAGCAGCACCAGCTGCTAGGCTGCAGGAGGGAGGCCACCAGGAGTCCCCACAACCCACCCTTCCGCCCGCCCACCCGTGCCTCCGGCTTCTCTGAGTGACCTTCCATCTCGCACTTCCTCCGGCTCAGTAAAAGGGGTCTCGTCCCTGCTTCCCAGCTGCTGAAGCCTTCCTCTCCGGTAACTTGGGAGCCCCCATGTCTGCCTCCCCTTTATCGTGACCTCACGTTTCTTTCTCCTCTGTGTCCCCCACCGCCAGTCTCCCTGCCCCCCCCAGTTGCTGTCCCTCTCCACCGCTGTCTCCTGTCCAGCCTGCCTGGGCTGCGGCCCAGCCGCCCTGCCTGGCCGGCCTCCCTGGCTCCCCCTCTGCGGCTCGGAGCGAGCCCCACCCCCTGCCCCCCTCCGTCCAGGCCTCTGATCATCTGTGGACTCCCGAGGTCGGCTGCCGGCTCACGGCCCCTGGGGCCAAGGACAGACCACAGCCCCTCGGCACCCACAGAGGCTGCCCCCAGCGGAGGGCATGGGGGTGGGCCGCCCCACCAGGTACGTGCCTCCACGCGAGGCCCCGCCGAGCCAGCCCCTCCTGCTCCGCTGCGCTCCCCACTCCACCCCGGCTCCAGCATCCTTGTCCTCAGGGAGGCCCTGTCTGCCCATCAGCAACAGGCTCAGCGCCGGGAGAATGGAACCCCCGGGTTCGGTGCCCGCAGCTCCCACCCCATCACCATTTTTGCATTTTCTCATTGGCTCCCATCCTCTGCTTCTCTGTCTCTCTGCTGTCTCTGCCTCTCTCCGTCTCTGCCTTCACAGTTCCATCTCCCCATGTCGTCATTTCTTAAAACGTGTTTTTCTCTTTTCACATTTCCCCAATTGCCCTGTCTACCTCTCTCTTCTTTGTCCCCCTCTCTCCGAGTCTCTGTCCTCTCAAGTCTCTGTCCCTTTCTTTCTGGGGCTCTGCTCCCCTCTTTATCTAGGTCTCTGTTCCTCTCTCTCAAGGTTTCTGCCCCCCCCTCTCTCTGGGTCTCTGTCCCTCCCCCTCTGGGTTTCTGTACCCCCGCCCTGGGTCTCTGTGCCCCCCTCTCTCTGGGTCTCTGTCCTCTCTCTCTGGGTCTCTGTCCCCGCCCCCCCGTCTCTGTCCCCCTCTCTCTCTGGGTCTCTGTCCCCCTCTCTCTCTGGGTCTCTTTCCCCTTGCCTCTGGGTCTCTGTCTCCACCCCCCTGTCTCTGTCCCCCTCTCTCAGGGTCCCTATTCTGCTGGGTCCCTGTATTTTTCTCGGGGGACTCCCTCAACACCCCTCTTCCTGTCTCTGCACCTCCTTGTCTTTCTGCAGTCTCTGCTTTCCAACCTGCCTTCCAGCCTCCACTGGTAGCTGGGGAGTAGAGGGGAACACCCTGGTTTGGGAAGAGTCAGAATACGTTGATGGGTGGGGGTGGGGGTGGGGGTGGGGACTGGGGCGGGACTTCTTGGCCTCAGATTAGACAGTGACTTTGACACGAAGTTGAAGCACCTTAAGCCCTGTGTCTCCTTTATATGGAAACATTAAGCTGCTCTTGCAGGTCAGGTGGAGGATCCCTTTCCCTCCCGCCCTGATTTTGCCGGGGAGGGGGTGCCCTGAGCCCGAGTAGCAGCCAGCCTGGGAGCTGGACCATGTTGGCCGCAGACAGCCCCCTGGTGAAGGTCCCCGTCGGCTTTGGGAGGTAGACACAGGTCTGCCTCACAGGGCTGAGGTGGGACCGGAGGATTTCAGGGGCAGAGTTCTGGAAAGGAAAGGAAGGTTGAAGACCCAGCCAGCACTGGGGGTGGGGCCCTGGCCAGCTCGTGGCGTTCCCAGAGCCTGCTTCCCGACTGTGAAAGGGGGTGATGATCTTCACCTCCCGGCATCCCGGGCAGTCAAGGTGAGCATGGGGTCTGAGGGGTGCAGTGGGGGTTCATCTCAAGGCCCCGGATGTCCTGGGTGTGTGCGAAGCCAGAGCGCTTTCAGGAAGACTGGTTTGGCACCTGGGCTGCGGCTCCCGGGAGGCCTGGGTGGGAGGCTGGGTTTTGCCCCCCCCTCTCCTCACTAGCTGAGGGGCCTGCGACAAGGGACTGACCTGGGCCTCAGCTGGCTTTTCTGTGAATAGCCAGGTCCCTTCATCAAAGGGCTTTGGTGAGAGATGGGCAAGTGGGGGTGCGAGACCCAGGCTGGGGGACAGGGGAGCCCCGGCCAGTGTCAGTGCCCGCTCGCCTCCCCCAGCCCATGGGGGAGGGGATTCCTGACGGTGGAACCAGCGCACAGTGGGGATCCCCGGGCCAGGCAGGGCTGCGTGTATAGACGCTGGGTCCTGGATGCTGACCTCCAGACTGCCCCCCTGGGCACCGAGCCTACTTCCCCCTTTTGGGAGAACAGTGTCTAACATGCAGGGCTGGCGAGGCTGAGACAGCCGAGGATGAGGTACATTTCGGGCACTGGGCACAGCCAGGCTTGGTCCCCTCTCACCTCAGCCTCAGCTTTCCTCTGTCAAGTGGACCTAACGAACCCCCAAATGGCAAGGCTGCCTAGGTGGTGCAAGCAGGAGGTGCATGGCTTGGGGAGACCCAGTTGGTGCCAAACATGACATCGTCTCGTGGTCTTCCCAAATGGAGTGTGCCAGGCCCTGCCAACAATCCCATGAGGATCCCCAGGTGCCGGTACCACGGACATGGACACGTGGTACATAGGCGCTTGGTGAATGTTGGTGGAATTGATAGCAAATTCTGTAACCCCAGTATGGTTTGTCCTGATCCAGCCAGTTCCTGGGAAGTCCCCTCACCACAGGGCCAAGTGTTGGTTAACCTTAGTTAACCCTGAAGCCAATGAGATGTGCGGGTCCACGTCCTGCCCTTCCCTTTCCTCCAGCCTGACAGGCTGCTGGGATTCCCTCCATTTCTTCCTTTATAATTTTTTTTTTTTTTTTTGAGACGGAGTCTCGCTGTGTTGCCCAGGCTGGAGTGCAGTGGCACGATCTTCGCTCACTGCAACAATCTCTGCCTCCTGGGTTCAAGCCATTTTCCTGCCTTTGCCTCCTGAGTAGCTGGGATTACAGGCACATGCCACCATGCCCGACTCATTTTTGTATTTTTATAAGAGACGGGGTTTCACCATTTTGGCCAGGCTGGTCTCAAACTCCTGACCTCATGATCTGCACGCCTCAGCCTCCCAAAGTGCAGGGATTACAGGTGTGAGCCACCACACCCAGCTATTTATTATTTTTTTTTTTTTTTTTTTTTTTTTTGAGACAGAGTCTTGCTTCGTCGCCAGGTGCCAGGCTGGAGTGCAGTGGCGTGATCACGGCTTACAGCAACCTCTGCCTCCCAGGTTCAAGCAATTCTCCTGCCTCAGTCTCTTGAGTAGCTGGGATTGCAGGTGTGCACCACCATGCCTAGCTAATTTTTTTATTTTTTGTAGAGACGGGGTTTCACCATGTTGGCTAGGATGGTCTTGATCTCTTGACCTCCTGATACGCCCACCTCGGCCTCCCAAAGTGCTGGCATTACAGATGTGAGCCACCGCGCCCGGCCTATTTTTATTATTTATTTATTCTTTAGACACAGGGTTTCACCATCTTGACCAGGCTGGTCTCAAACCCCTGGTCTCATGCAATCCTCCTGAGTTCCCCAGTTGGACTCCCCAAGTGCCAGGATTACAGGTGTGAGCCACTGCACCTGCCTCTTTTTTTTTTTTTTTTTTTTTAAGGGACAGGATCTTGCTCTGTTGCCCAGGCTGCAGTGCAGTGGTGCAATCATAGCTCACTGTGACCTTGAACTCCTGGGCTCAAGTGATCCTCTCACCTCAGCCTCCAGAGTAGTTGTGTCATTGAGGCTGGATAATTTTTGTTTTAAGGTAGGGTCTCGCTAGGTTGCCCAAGCTGGTCTCAAACTCCCCGGTTCAAACAATCCTCCCACCTTGGCCTCCCAAAATGCTGGGATTGCAGGTGTGAGCCAGGATTCCCAGCCCCCAGGTCTCCTGCATTTCACAGATGAGAGAGCTGGGGGCTCAGGAAAGGATATGACCCATCAGTCACACACCTAGTAAATGGCTGACCAAATTGAGTTTCTGGAAAAGGAAGCCAGAGATCCCAGGGCACATAGCTGGTGAGCAACGAAGCCAGAATTGGGCTCTGGGTGTACATGGTAAGAAGGCCCTTCCTGATCACTCAGAAAGACTTGCCGAAGACCAGAGGGCCGGGCATGAGCCCATTTCATTTATTTATTTTACAATAGCTTCATCAGAATCTAATTAACATGTGATGCACTCATTACAGTGTACAATGCAGTGGCATTTAGTGTGTACACAATTGTGCAGCCATCACAATTTCTTTGTTTTGTTTTGTTTTTGAGATGGAGTCTTGCTTTGTCACCCAGGCTGGAATGCACTGGTGCAATCTCAGCTCACCGCAACCTCCGCCTCCTGGGTTCAAGTAATTCTCCTGCCTCAGCCTCCCAAGTAGCTGGGATTATAGGTGCATGTTACCACACCCGGCTCATTTTCATATTTTTTAATAGAGACAGGGTTTCACCATGTTGGCCAGGCTAGTCTCGAACTCCTGACCTCAGGTGGTCCGCCCACCTGGGCCTCCCAAAGTGTTGGGATTACAGGCGTGAGCCACTGCACCTGGCATGTTTTCAGGGTTTATTCATGTTGCATCCATCAATACTTCATTTCTCTTTATTGTCAAGGACTATTCTTTGGATGAATGTATCACATTTTATGTATTCATTAGTTGGTTGATGTTTGGGTTTCTACCTTTTGGCTATTATGAGTAATGCTGCTGTGAACATTTGTGTACAAGTTTTTGCATCTGTTTTCATTTCTCTTGGGTACATAAATAGGAATGCAATTGCTGGGTGATGTGGTAATTCTATGTTTAACCGTTTAAGTAACTGCCAGACTGATTCCTACAGCAGCTGGAATTTTCCATTCCCCCCCCCCCCAGCAGCGTAAGAGGATGCCAATTTTTCCACCTTCTCACCAACACTTTTTTATTTATTATTATTATAGCCTTTATTTGTTTGTTTCTTGAAACAGAGTCTTGCTCTGTTACCCAGGCTGGAGTGCAATGGCGCGATCTCGGCTCACTGCAGTCTCCGCCTCCCGAGTTAAGCAATTCTCCTGCCTCGGCCTCCTGAGTAGCTGGGATTACAGGCACGTGCCATCATGCCCAGCTAATTTTCTGTATTTTTAGTAGAGATGGGGTTTCACCATGTTGGCCAGACTGGTCTCGAACTCCTGACCTAGGAATCTGCCCACCTCGGCCTCCCAAAGTGCTAGGATTAGAGGTGTGAACCACCACCCCTCGCCTATTATAACCATTCTAAGTGGGTGCAAAGTGGTATTCCCTTGTGGTTTTGACTTGCATTTCTCTGATGGCTAATGATGTGGAGCATCTTTTCGTATGTTTATTAGCCATTTGTAGACCTTCTTAGGAGAAATGTCTGTACAGATCCTTTGACCGCTTTTTTTGTTGTTTTTTTTGTGTGTGTGTGCCTTCGCCACCGGAGTAGCTGGAACTATAGATGTGCACCAGTAGGCCCAGCTGATTTTTGGATTTTTAGTAGAGACAGGATTTCACCATGTTGGCCAGGCTGGTCTCGAACTCCTGAGCTCAAGTGTTCCAGCTGCCTTGGCCTCCCAAAGTGTTAGGATTACAGGTGTGAGCTGCTGTGCCTGGTCCCCTTTGCCCACTTTTAAATTGGGTTATTTGGGCTGGGCACAGCAGCCCACACCTGTAATCCCAGCACTTTGGGAGGTTAGGGTGGTTAGATCACTTGAGGCCAGGAGTTCAAGACCAGCCTGGCTAACATGGTGAAACCCCGTCTCTACTAAAAATACAAAAATTAGCTGGGCATGGTGGTGCGAGCCTGTAATTCCAGCTACTCCGCAGGCTAAGGCAGCAGAATCCCTTGAACCCAGGAGGTGGAGGTTGCCGTGAGCCGAGATCGCACCACTGCTCTCTAGCCTGGGTGACAGAGCGAGACTCCATCTCAAAAAAAAAAAAAAAAAAAAAAAAAGCATTATTTATCTTTTCATTATTGAGTTGCAAGGTCTATTTATATAGTCTAGATACAAGTTCCTCATCAAGTATATGATTTGCAACTACAGCATCTTCTCCCATCGGTGGGTTGTCTTTTCCCTTTTGTAAAAAAACGTTGTGAGACAAGGTTTTGCTCTTTTGCCCAGGCTGGAGTGCAGTGGCGCAGTCTTAATTCCAACTCCTGGGCTAAGTGATCCTCCCACCTCAGCCTTTCAAGTAACTAGGGCTACACGTTTGCATCACTACACCTGGCTAATTTTTTATTTATTTATTTATTTTTGAGACGGAGTTTCACTCTTGTTACCCAGGCTGGAGTGCAATGGCGCGATCTCGGCTCACCGCAACCTCCGCCTCCTGGGTTCAGGCAATTCTCCTGCCTCAGCCTCCTGAGTAGCTGGGATTATAGGCACGCGCCACCATGCCCAGCTAATTTTTTGTATTTTTAGTAGAGACGGGATTTCACCATGTTGACCAGGTTGGTCTCGATCTCTCGACCTTGTGATCCACCCGCCTTGGCCTCCCAAAGTGCTGGGATTACAGGCTTGAGCCACCACGCCCGGCCAATTTTTTATTTTTTAAAGACCCTTGCTGTGTTGCCCAGGCTGGTCATGAACTCCTGGGCTCAAGTGATCCTTCTGCCTCGGCCTCCCAAAGCGCTAGGATACAGGTGTGTACCACCTCACCTGGTCTTTCTTCACTTTCTTGATAGTGTCTTTGGGAGCACAAAGGTTTTTTAGTTCTGGCCGGGTGCAGTGGCTCATGCCTGTAATCCCAATACTTTAGGAGGCCAAGGCGGGAGGATCACTTGAGGTCAGGAGTGCAAGACCGGTCTGGCCAACATGGCAAAACCCCATCTCTACTAAAAATACAAAAATTAGCCAGGTGTGGTGGCGCACGCCTGTAATCCCAGCTACTCAGGAGGCTGAGGCAGGAGAACCCCTTGAACCCAGGAGGCAGAGATTGCAATGAGCCAAGAGTGCACCACTGCACCCAAAAAAAAAAAAAGTTTTTAGTTCTCATTTATAGGGTCCAGCCCTATAGGGTTCGGTGAACCCCTCCCTGTTAGTGTGGAGACAAGAGACTACAGACAAAAGACACAGACACAGAGAAGAGAGTGTGGGCTCGGGGGTCCACTGCCAGCCAAAGCGCGGAGCCCTGCAGTGGCCCGGAGTGCCTGGACTCTCTGACTTTTATTGAGTACAAAGCAGGGGGCAGGGAAGGTAGGGTGAGGTCATGGTGGTCAGTGGTAGGGTCAGGGAAATCATGTGTCTTGAAGATAGGGGGCCTGAGACTTTCAAGTAGCCAAGGCGAGGAAAAAAGCTAATGTGTCAGCGCTCTTCACGTATTTGTCACAAATATCAAGGACACTAAGATCATGTTACCATTATTAAGTCTTAGCTTTTAAGGAAAAGAGAAACCAGGTGCAGAAGCAGAGCGTGAGAGCAGACATGGAACGTGCCCACTGAAGCGCAGCGTCACATAGACACAGTTAAGCCCCCGGATGTCTGCGGGTCCCCCTGACAGCCGTCAGGCCTTGCCACAAGAGCTTGGAGGAGTGGAGTTTTCTCCTAACTTCCCCAGGAAGGAGACGTCTCAGCCATTTTGGACGTCTCCTTCCCTAACTGGCTAAACAGCCGGCACTTTCCCAGCGCTGGGGCTTCCGCACAGCCGAGGCGCCCTCCAGCAGCCCTTATGCGGGCATGACAGAGGACTTAGAGCATCTTGCCTTAGGGTCACTTTGTTCACAATGTCACCTCAGTTCCATGCTTCATAACCTGACAGTCGTTAGTAATACTAAAGGTTATATTGAGTATATATCTTTATGATTATAAGTAACTATAAAATTATATATGATTATATAAAGGAATAACTATGTGCCTACATTTCTAATTCTTTTCTAAATCAATATTTATATGGGAGCAGGCTGAGGCTTCAGACCCTTGCCACGGCACTTTCGGGGTTCCCCTACAGTGATTCAATTCAGTTGATGTAAGTTTTTCCTTTTGTTACTTTGTGAGCCTGTTCTTGAACCACAGCTGACTGCAGAGCCCTGAGGCATCTCTCCATGCCGAGCAGCAGCTACACCTTACAGTTGCGAGCCTGGCCTCGAGCTGGACTGCTAGCACTCAAAGCCCGCTTTACTTAGCTGTGGTCTTGGGGAAGTTACTTAAACGTTTTGTGCTTCAGTTTCCTTATCTATAAAATGGGGATAATGATGTCTGCGTCATAGGCCTGCTCTGAGGCTCTAATATGTAAAATCATGTAAAGTGCTTACAACAGCCTCCAAACTGGCTGAGCAAGTGGCTCACGCCTGTAATCCCAGCACTTTGGAAGCCTGAGGCGGCAGATCACTAGAGGTCAGGAGTTTGAGACCAGCCTGGCCAACATGGTGAAACCCCATCTCTACTAAAAATGCAACAATTAGCCAGGCATGGTGGGGCATGCCTGTAATCCCAGCCTCACAGGAGGCTGAGACAGGAGAATCGCTTGAACCCGGGAGGCAGAGGTTACAGTGAGCCGGGATTGCGCCATTGTATCCCAGCCTGGGCAACACAGCTAGACTCCATCTCAAAAAAACAAACCCTCCACACTGTATAAACAGCATAATTGATATGACACAAATGATAAATTCAATATATAAATTTAGCACTGTATAAATGCGTGCTGTAATTATTATGGCACCTGCCATAATATTGTTATAGTATTTCCCGTTGTTGTTATACAAGTATCTACTAATAGTATTATTGCTGTTTATCCTCCATCTTCCAACTTGGAAGGTGAGTATGGGCCGGGTGAGATGGCTCACGCCTGTAATCCCAGCACTTCTGGAGGCTGAGGAGAGATCGTTTAAGGTCAGGAGTTCGAGACCAGCCTGGGAAATACAGCGAGGTCCCTGTCTCTATAAAACAAAAATTAAATTAATAAAACATTTTTAAAAAGAAGGTGGCAGTGGGCTGTGGTGGCTCACACCTGCAATCCCAGCACTTTGGAAGGCTGAGGCGGGCAGATCATGAGGTGAGGAGATTGAGACCATCCTGGCTATCAGGTGAAACCCGTCTCTACTAAAAATATAAAAAATCAGCTGGGTGTGGTGGTAGGCGCCTGTAATCCCAGCTACTTGGGAGGCTGAGGCAGGAGAATCACTTAAACCCCGGAGGCGGAGGTTGCAGTGAGCCGAGATTGCACCATTGCACTCCAGCCTGGGCAACAGAGCGAGACTCTGTCTCATTTAAAAAAAAAAAAAAAATACATATATATATATACACACACACACACACACACACACACACACACACACACACATATATATCGTTGGCTCGTGCCTGTAATCCTAGCACTTTAGGAGGCCAAGGTGGGTGGATTGCCTGGCATCAGGAATTCGAGACCAGCCTGGGCAACATGGTGAAATCCCATCCTTACTAAAAATAGAAAAATTAGCTGGGCTTGGTGGCGTGTGCCTGTGGCCCCAGCTACTTAGGAGGCTGAGGCGGGAGAATCGCCTGAACCCCGGAGGTGGAGGTTGCAGTGAGCCGAGATCGCACCATTGCACTCCAGCCTGGGTGACAGAGCCAGACTCCATCTCCAAAACGAAAAAAAAAAAAGTGAGTATTGTTCCACCCATTTGACAGATGAGGACACTAAGCCCCACTGGAGAGCATGCCTGGCCGATGAGCTCACCCATTCCTGGAGCCCCTGACGTTTCTGCCGGTTTCTTGTTCCAGCAGGTTGGGGGCGCCTGCCCCCCAGTAGGCCAAGTGGAGGGGGTCCCTCCGCCCAATGGGCCTGGCCAGGGCCCTACGCCGCCTCAGCGGCGTCCTGGATTCGGGAGACAGCCGGGCTGGCGATGAAGAGGAGGCCGGACCGGGGCTGTGCCGCAACGGGTGGGCGCCGGCGCCGGTGCAGTCACCGGTGGGCCGGCGCCGTGGTCGCTTCGTCAAGAAGGACGGGCACTGCAACGTGCGCTTCGTGAACCTGGGCGGCCAGGGCGCGCGCTACCTGAGCGACCTGTTCACCACGTGCGTGGACGTGCGCTGGCGCTGGATGTGCCTGCTCTTCTCCTGCTCCTTCCTCGCCTCCTGGCTGCTCTTCGGCCTGGCTTTCTGGCTCATCGCCTCGCTGCACGGCGACCTGGCCGCCCCGCCACCGCCCGCGCCCTGCTTCTCGCACGTGGCCAGCTTCCTGGCCGCCTTCCTCTTCGCGCTGGAGACGCAGACGTCTATCGGCTACGGCGTGCGCAGCGTCACCGAGGAGTGCCCGGCCGCTGTGGCCGCCGTGGTGCTGCAGTGCATCGCCGGCTGCGTGCTCGACGCCTTCGTCGTGGGCGCCGTCATGGCCAAGATGGCCAAACCCAAGAAGCGCAACGAAACGCTGGTCTTCAGCGAGAACGCCGTCGTGGCGCTGCGTGACCACCGCCTCTGCCTCATGTGGCGCGTCGGCAACCTGCGCCGCAGCCACCTGGTGGAGGCCCACGTGCGGGCCCAGCTGCTGCAGGTGCGAGGGGAGGCGGGGCGGGGCGTGGCCTTCCGCGAGCCCTCAGGGATTGTGGGAGTTGTAGGCCCGGGGGCGAGGGGCGCGCGGGCCTGGAGGGGGCGTGAACTACAACTCCCAGCAGCCTCTGGGGCAGGGGCCTGTGGACTGCGGAGGGGTTGCTGAGCAGCTGGGGAGGTAAACCCAAGAGAGAGGTCTGTGACCAGCTCTTCCTGGAGGCCTGGACTTGCGGCATACAAAGCTTCCTGTGGCTTGAGGATGGGCCGTCTGTGGGATTGTGAGGAGTCTAGACCCGAGAGGGCCAAGCCTGGCCTGTGGAGGCTCTGGGCTGTAATTCCCAGGAGCTTCTGAGTCAAGGGACCTGCCCGAAGATGGTCTGAGATGCAGTTTTGCGGGGGGCAGTGATGAGTGACCGTTCTATTGCTCAGGTGTACAATTCCCACAGACACTGTGGCACAGACCGAGGCCCGAGACTTGAGGCCCCGGAAGAGGCAGGCCCCAGGATGAGTGCAGCTCATCACTGTGGAGCGCAGTTTTCCAGGCTTCTAGGCATGGGGTCCTGCGGCATCTGTGGGAGAATCCGCCTCAGTGGCCCATTGTGTCCCACCAGCCTCCGGCCCTCTGAGTTTGGTTCCCACTGGGAACCAAACGAAACTGCACCTCCCACTGGCCCATGGGGTAGTGGCTCCCTCCCGTGCCCTGGGAAGGGGCCTTAGTGTTTCTAGAATTGTGGTCGAATTGCTCAAACATCTCCGTTCCCAAGAAACTCTGGGCCAGTAGCTGCCCTTGCCCAAGTAAAGTGACTTTATTCATTTTTTTATGAGATGGAGTTTTGCTCTGTTGCCCAGGCTGGAGTAGAGTGGCATGATCTTGGCTCACTTCAACCTCCGCCTACTGGTTTCAAGTGTTTCTCCTGCCTCAGCCTCCAGAATAGCTGGGATTACAGATGCCTGCCACCGGGCCTGGCTAATTTTTGTATTATTAGAAGAGACGGGGTTTCGCCACATTGGCCAGGCTGATCTTGAACTCCTGACCTCAGGTGATCCACCGCCTTGGCCTCCCAAAGTGCTGGGATTACAGGCGTGACCCACTGCGCCTGGTCGTAAAGTGACTTTAGAACTCTGGGCTGAGGCTTGACTTGGAGAGGATTGGGGGTGGTGGGAGCTGCAACTCCCAGCCGCCTCTAGGATTCCTCTACTTGGGGCTCCCGGAGACAGTTCCGAGAGGAGGATAGGTGCCCACCTCCCACTTCTGTCTCCTGCCTGACGCTTTGAGATGCCAGAATTCATGACAGGGAGGGACACTGGCTCTTGCAGAAGTCTGTGGGGCAGTGACATGGCCTGGGAGGTGGCTGTGGACCCAGCTGGTAGGCAGGGGCAACATACCCAGACCCCCACAAAGCGTGCCCACAGGCACAATGCCAGGGAGGGGCTTGCAGTTGGGCTGGCAGCTGGGATAGCTCCGGGGAGGGCCCGGGGATAAGCCTGAGGCAGTGGTGGCTGCAGATCATAGCCCTAACTCCCCCTTCTTATCATCAGGTTTATCTTTCTCTGGCCACATACTAAAAGCCATTTTTCTCTCCCTCTCCCCCAATTCTCTGTTGGATGTCATCCTTATTTTCCATTGTCACCTCGATTCCATCTCTGTCTTGCTGATTTCTGTGTCTATGCCAATATCACGGTCCCTCTCTCCTACTTCTCTTCCCCTGCCACGCCCCTCTTCCCATTTTCTGTTCCCAAACCCTGAGTCTCTTTCCTGTCCCTTTATCTCTGGGTCTGTCCCATCCCATGCGTCCTCTGGACCTCCATCCTCCCCTCCCGGGTCTCTGGCTCCCTCTCGCTGGGTTTCTGTGCCCTCGCCTGTGTCTCTGACTTCCTCTCTCTCTGGGTCGCCGGCCCCATCTCTGGATTCTCACCCTTTCCTTCACTCTTGTGGTCTTTGCCTTCTTTCTCTGCATCTCTTTTTTCTCTCTCTCTCCATCTCTGCCTGTCTCTGCGCCTTGCTCTCTTTTCTTTGGCTCTTTGCCTCCTGCTGCAGCCTCGTGTGACCCCAGAGGGGGAGTACATCCCGCTGGACCACCAGGATGTGGACGTGGGCTTTGATGGAGGCACCGATCGTATCTTCCTCGTATCCCCCATCACCATCGTCCATGAGATCGACTCAGCCAGTCCTCTGTATGAGCTCGGACGCGCTGAGCTGGCCAGGGCTGACTTTGAGCTGGTGGTCATTCTCGAGGGGATGGTTGAGGCCACAGCCATGACCACACAGTGTCGCTCATCCTACCTCCCTGGTGAACTGCTCTGGGGCCATCGTTTTGAGCCAGTTCTCTTCCAGCGTGGCTCCCAGTATGAGGTCGACTATCGCCACTTCCATCGCACTTACGAGGTCCCGGGGACGCCGGTCTGCAGTGCTAAGGAGCTGGATGAACGGGCAGAGCAGGCTTCCCACAGCCTCAAGTCTAGCTTCCCTGGCTCTCTGACTGCGTTTTGTTATGAGAATGAACTTGCTCTGAGCTGCTGCCAGGAGGAAGATGAGGACGATGAGGCCGAGGAGGGGAACGAGGAGGAGACAGAAGATGGGGCTTCCAGCCCCGGAGTTCTCACACCAACCCTGGCGCTGACCCTGCCTCCATGATGCCGACAGATGTCCCCTTCCCCATGTGTGCCCCCTTCCCCGAGGTAGCAAGATGGAGAGATAGGGTTCTCTCCTGGGACGGGGGCATGTGTTCTCGAAGACCAACAGGCCTGCTGGGTAAATGACGAGGTGGTAAGGTTCTGCTGTGCCTGGTGACCTGCCACGGACGTATCGGACCTTAACTCCTCTGCTTCTGTGCTCCCTCCTGAGACCCCTTTATGAGCCCAATTCCTGAGTCTCACCAGAATTCTGGATCACCCAAGAGGAAAAGACTGGTGTTCTAGATTCTTCTGTATGGGTGGAACTGGATTGCTACCAGGGTGAGAAACCAGTGGTATAGACCACCTCTGGGGGAGCAAGTTGGTAGTTCTTGGACAGCATCACAGATCAAGGGTTTGTAGGACTGGATTCACCTAAGATTCAAGGGAGTGTTGCTTCTCAACTCAGCCAACCGAGCAGCAAAACACTGGTTGTAGACCACCTAGGAGGGAAGGCTATGGAATGCCCCAGGCCTTCAAGATCATCTTGGTTGACCAAAGGGGAAAAAAAAAAAAATGCTGACTGCAAGTTAAGAAGAGACCTGTGGTTCCAGAAAGCCCATTGGTTGAGATTCTGTGAGTCTAGGTTGACCACAGAAGCAAGCACTGGTGATTCTAGGACAGGTTTGACCTGGAGAGTTGAACTGCTCCAGAAACTAAAGAGTAATGTTTCTAGAATGCACAAAACATGGGTGAGTCTGTGGGTTCAGAAAGGCTAAAGTGACAGATTAGGAGTTCTTGACATGAGATGACTCCGTCTTTGGGCTGTAGAGCATCCAGCCAAGAGAATAAGCAATGTTTCTAAAGGATCCACAGGGTGGGTTGTTTTTTTTAAAGTGCCATTCTAGAATGTCTAAAGGGAATCAGGATTCTGTGGGTCTAGACTGATTAGAGTCGAGGAGGCAGGGGCCATTCCGGATGGCTGAGATTTTCCTGGTTCCAGTTTGCCCAGTGGAGTTGAGAATCTCGATGATTCTAGATGACGTCTTGTGGTTCTGTAATGCCAAAAGGAAGTAAGGCTCCGGGGATCCAGAGTTGTCCGTGACCAAAGCCTGGACGTTGTCGTCACCTCCAGGTGGACTGCTTGGCAGTGCTAGGAAGTGGACTCAGGACTTGAGAAGCAGCATTTCTGGGCTGACCGAGGAGGTGAGGGTTCAGGCTAGACCCTGGAGGGCACAGGGCTGATCAGTGGACAAAGGAAGGGCTGGTGAGTCTAGAATGCTCTGGAACCCTGCACCTAGTGATATGTGTCTATTTCTTTCTTTCTTTCTTTTCTTGAGACAGAGCCTCACTCTGTCACCCAGGCTGGAGTGCAGAGGTGCGGCCTCAGCTCACTGCAACCCCCGTCTCTCAGCTGCAAGCGATTCTCCTGCCTCAGCCTCCCAAGTGGCTGGGATTACAGGCGTGAGCCACTACGCCCGGCTAATTTTTGTATTTTTCATAGAGACAGGGTTTCGCCATGTTAGCCAGGTTGGTCTTGAACTCCCAACCTCAGATGACCCACCCACCTCAGCCTCCCAAAGTGCTGGGATTACAGGCGTGAGCCACCATGCCCGGCCATTTGTCTACTTCTTAAAGATGTTATACATATATGTGTATTATATATATATATAATATAAATACGGATATCTATTTTTTCCCCTGGTCCTACAACAGGCTTAAAAATGGAGTGCTAGCTAATTGGAATGAGGCCCTTTTCAAGGGCCCGCGAAGCTTTGCTGTAAATCCCAGTGCCGCCCCAACTACTGTGTCCCTTCAGACTCCGCTTCATGTCAGTTTCCCCATCTGTAAAGTCCTTCAGGGGCCTTTCCAGGAGGATGAGTCCTCACCTCATCAAGGATGGGATGGGGATTTGAGTCCTGGGGATTTTCCTGCTCTGCCCAGTGCTCGATCGTACGCCGGGGGGAGGTTGGGATGGAAGACACTCAGGGAGGCTGGCTCTGAACTCAGGTGTCTGACTCACAGGGCAAGGGTAGGCGTGGGCTGTGGCTCCCAGCCAGAGTCCCTTCTCTGGCCCAGCTTGGGGACCTGGGAAGGAGGAAGTAGCTCTGGACACCAAGGTTCTTCCCTACTATGGGGGAGTGAGTGTTTTAGGGGGAGACCTGTCCCCCAGATTAAAGAATTAGGAGCCCCAGTGGGTGTGTCTGCGAATGTGTTTCTCGAGCATGGGTCCTGCGACCTGGCCCCCTGGCCATGTTGCCATCTACCTAAGTACCCTACAGGCTGGGAGCCAGCTGCAGAGGCAGCCAGTGACAGGGAGGAGGACGTGTTCCCAGCCTGTATTCTGGACCGAGGGCAGCCACCGTCACTGGCATTCAGCCTTCACAAGTGCTGCATCAACTCAGGTGCCCCCTCCGGCTTCTCCATCTCCATCTCCCTTTATCCCTCAGAATCCCCACGTAATAACCGGATGGGATTGATTAGCTGGCTTTCCTTTCAGCTCGGGTGTCTAGGGTAGGAAGGGACAGGGGCGGGGGCCATGGAAACGCAGGGTTGGGAAAGGATGTTAAGTCGGAAGTGAAGGGGCAGGGAGGGGGTTTTGTTTGGAAGGAGGGTGGGAGCCGGGCAGCCCAGTCCGGTTTTCCACTGAGGAGGGCAGGGCCTGGGCCACTCATAAAGGTCAGTGAGGGGATTAAAAGCCTCCATGTCTAATCCGACAGCTTAACCAGGTCCTGGCCCCGAATCTGTCCCCACCTGCCCAGCCCAGGGACAGCAAATGAGGACAAGGCCCAGACACCACTTCAGCCTCCATGATGGCTTTCCTCTTTACAGGGGTGCCTGGCTTCACCATTTCACCCAGGCCCTTGACCCCATTCCAAGTGATGGGACCCAGAGGCTGGGGCAGGGGAAGGACTTAGAGGAGGAAGGACTCTCAGAGAAGGGAGGAGTTTAAGAAGGGCAAGGGTGGCTGGGCATGGTGGTTCACACCTGTAATCCCGGCACTTCGGGAGGCTGAGGCAGGTGGATCACCTGAGTTCAGGAGTTCGAGACCAGCCTGGCCAACATGGCAAAACCCTGACTCTACTAAAAATACAACAATTAGCCAGGCATCGTGGTGGGCACCTGTAATTCCAGCTACTTGGTGTAGGGTCTAGCCCTACAGGGTCCTTTGAGCCCCTCTCTGCTGGTGTAGAGAGGAGAAACTGTAGACATAAAAGTCACAAGACACAGAGATAGAGAAAAGAGAGTTTGGGCCCCAGGGTCCACTGCCAGCCAAAGTGTAGAGTCCAGCAGTAGCCCCGAGTGTCCGCACACTCCGACTTTTATTGAGTATAAAGCTGGGGGCAGTGTAGGTAGGGCGTGGCATTGGTGATCAGTGTTAGGGTCATATAGGTGGGGATCCAAGACTTTCTAGTAGCCTAGATGAGGTAAGGAGCATAATGCGTCAGCACTTTTCCACAGTTGTCACGAAAGAACAAAGACATAAAGATTTATATTACTTTTACTGATTATGTCTTCTAAGAAAAAAGGAACCAGGTGCAGAAACGGAACATGAGAGTGGACATGGAACATGACCGCTGAAGCACAGCATTGCATAGAGACAGTTACGCCCCTGGATGTCTGTGGGCCTCCCTGACAGCTGCCAGGCCTACTGTGAGAGCTTGGAGGAGTGGAGTTTTCTCCTAACTCCCCCGGGGAAGGAGACATCTCTGACATTTCTTTCCGCACGCAGCTTGCTAAACAGCAGGCGCTTTCCCAGTGCTGGTGCTGGCGCAGAGCCAAGGCGCCCTCCAGCAGCCCTTACACGGGTGTGACGGAGGGCTTAAAGCATCTTGCCTTAAGGCCATTCCTTTCACAATGTCACCCCAGGTTCATACTTTTCGACCTGAGAGTCATTAGTAAAAGAACTAAGATCACCTATGAATAACTAAGATCGCCTATGAATAACTACTGTGGTTATATCTCTACTTATTTTCTTCTTCACTACTTCTATGGGAATAGGCTGAGGCTCCGGACTCCTGCCTTGGCACTTACTGGGTCTCCCTCCCAAACTTCAAACTTGGGAGGCTGAGGCAGGAGAATCGCTTGAACCTGGCGGGTTGAGGTTGCAGTAAGCCGAGACTGTGCCACTTAACTCCAGCTTCGGCAACAAGAATGAAAGTCCATAACCCCCCCCCCAAAAAAAGGGGGGGGGCAAGGGTATGAGAGGTTGAGAGGGATGGTGAAGTATGGGAAGCCAGAGAGAAAGAAAAGGCCTTCTGAGATGGGAGAAGGAATCAGAGACCTGAGAAGATGCTTGCGGAAGGGAGGAGTATTAGGAGGATGATACTAAGCTAAGGGGAGGAGTTTGGAGGAATGAGGGAGGAGTCTGAGCAGCAGAAGGCGCCAGGAAGGGCCGAGCCTGTGCTTTCAATAAATTTGACCTTCCCCTGTTCTATTCTCCATGACACCAAATAGCATAGCACTTAGAAAAAGTAAATCTTGGGCGGACGCAGTGGCTCACACCTGTAATCCCAGCACTTTGGGAGGTCGAGGCGGGCGGATCACAAGGTCAGGAGTTCAAGATCAGCCTGACCCATAGGGTGAAACCCCGTCTCTATAAAAAAAAAAACACGAAAATTAGCCAGGCGTGGTGGCGTGTGCCTGTAGTCCCAGCTACTCGGAGGCTGAGGCAGGAGATTCGCTTGAACCCGGGAGGCAGAGGTCGCAGTGAGCCGAGATCTCGCCACTGCCTGGGTGACAGAGCAGGACTCCACTTCAAAAAAAAAAAAAAAAAAAAAAAATCTTTCGTTTCACCACTCCATGGCTCTGAAGAGGCTGAGGGCAATTGGGAGGGCATAGATGATGGTAAGGAGTTTGAAGATTAGAAGGGACTGAAAGGAGAGGAAAGTACCCGGGGAAGAAATGCAAAAGAGGCCCAAAGCGGCTCCCCGTTGCATAGCAACCTCTGCGGTCAGAAGCCAGCCTGGGCTGCTAGGAGGCGTGGCTTACAAAACAAGCCACAGTTGTAGCCCCGCCCCCTGGCGACAAGACTAACAAAGTACCACCCCTTAGCAACGCATTGCTGGAGGCGGGGTTCGGTTGACCCAGTCTCCCAGTGTCCAAGGCCTTTGAGCAGGCGCCGTCATGTCTGTTCCGCGTAGCTCCGCCTCCACGCAACACTTTTCCGAGGCTTCTCATTGGAGAGCGAGCCTGTCAAAGGTTGTCTGTTGTTTCGGAGGCGGGGCCTGCTGCCCTGCCTGCACTCCGATTGGTCCTGTGGGCCGTCTACCTCCGGCCGGACATACCTCCCTCAGCTTTTTGTGCGACTCTTGGCCCTGGAGGACGATCCTTTGGTGTCGAGGGCGGGGAGGACGAAAGCGCCCACTGTGGATTGGACGGTGTCAAAAAGAGGGGCGGTCCCTACTGAAGGGGCGGTTGGGAGACGAAGGGAGAGTCTTTTCAGCGCTGAGGACTGGCGCTGAGGAGGCGGCGGTGGCTCCCGGGGCGTTTGAGCGGGCTCACCAGAGCCCGCGGGCCAACGCGGATCCAGGCCCGACCGGCGGGACCGCCCCGGACTCCCCGCGGGCCTTCCTAGCCGCCATGGAGGACGGCGTCTATGGTAGGTCGGGGAGGGGCGGGGTCGGATGGGAGCTGCTAGAGCGTTTTCTCCTGAACGTTCCGCTGCGAACGTTTCCTTCTGGCGCGCGCCGCCCAGAAGCGTTGGGTCCCGTCGTAGCCTCGTCGCGCCGCTTTTGTGGGGCGCTGGATGGGCTTCCGGCTGGACCCGAGAGCGGGGTGTTCCAGGCCATTGTTTGGGCTGAGCCTGTTTCCGGTGGCGGCGGGAGGGGCGGGATGGAGCGGTGGAGGCGCGGCCGGGGCGGAACCATTCCAGCTGGAGGGGCGGGCGAGCCCGGCGCCTGCCGGGGAGGGGCACTCGGGTTGCCGGGAGGGGAGAAATCTTGGGGGCGGGGGCTGTCGATGTCCCGCCCCACCTTCCCAACTCTCTCGAGCTGTCATCAGCTCTCCTGGCTGTAGTGACTTTTCATGGACCCAGGAGTCCGGACACCCAAGTCCTCAGCTGCTACCTCGCCAGGAATGGAGTCAGAAAACCAAGGCCTCAGTCCCCTTCCAAGTAATGGACCTAGAAATTCCGCCTCCCAGCCCTTTCTTCCCTCAGACCTAAGAGCTCAGGCACCCATTCCCCTTCTCCCTCGGACTCAGGAATCCGGGCCCCAAGTCCACTCCTGCCCCAGCACTCGAGAGTTTGGAATCCAGGCCCCCAGCCTGTTCTTCGGTCCAGACATAGGAAGCCCCTTATGCGTCCTTTCCGAGCTCTCTCCGCCCCCAGACTGCAGGAATTCCGGCTCACGGCCCCCAGACTGCAGGAATTCCGGCTCACGGCCCCCAGCACTGACTTTTTTTTTTTTTTTTTTTTGAGGCGGAGTTTCGCTCTTGTTACCCAGGCTGGAGTGCAATGGCGCGATCTCGGCTCACCGCAACCTCCGCCTCCTGGGTTCAGGCAATTCTCCTGCCTCAGCCTCCTGAGTAGCTGGGATTACAGGCACGTGCCACCATGCCCAGCTAATTTTTTGTATTTTTAGTAGAGACGGGGTTTCACCATGTTGACCAGGATAGTCTCGATCTCTTGACCTCGTGATCCACCCGCCTCGGCCTCCCAAAGTGCTGGGATTACAGGCTTGAGCCACAGCGCCCGGCCCAGCACTGACTTTTAAACCTTGACCCTGACCCCCAGAACCCCCAGACCTGACTCCGGAGGAGCGGATGGAGCTGGAGAACATCCGGCGGCGGAAGCAGGAGCTGCTGGTGGAGATTCAGCGCCTGCGGGAGGAGCTCAGCGAAGCCATGAGCGAGGTGGAGGGGCTGGAGGCCAACGAGGGCAGGTGAGGGCTGGGGCAGACAACCTGGGGGCCGTGGGGTTGGCCGAGGCCAGGGATGTCCAGGCGTTGACCTTCCACCCCCTATCCTGCTCTCTGCTCCTGCAGTAAGACCTTGCAGCGGAACCGGAAGATGGCAATGGGCAGGAAGAAGTTCAACATGGACCCCAAGAAGGTGCTTGGGGCCACAGGACTGGGATCAGCTGGGCAGACGTTCAGGCAGGAACTTCTGGCACCTCCGGGTTCCAGAAGCATGATGGCTCCGGCTCTGTTCTAGGTGGACAGACTTGGCCCTAATCCCTGGATTCAGAGACTGGCTGTCCATTTGTTCTCCCAACACTAGCAAGTGTTTCAGCCCTCCTGACTCCCTAGTTGCGTCCCCTGCCGGGAGGGTTCTCTTGCACTGTCTACTTGTATGGGCACACTTCTTCTAGTCCTAAGATGAGCTCGAGTCTTGTAGGGGCTGTGGACGAAGTGACATGCACAAACGAGGGTTGACTGGTGCCATGACGGAGGGGTATCGGGGTAGTGGATCTTGAAGGAGGCAGGCTGGTAGAGTCAGGGAGGGCTTCCTTGAGGAGGAGACATTCAGGTCGGGTTTGAAGGATGAATGGGTGTTCACCAGGTTCAGGAAAGTCTTTTGTTCACTTACATTTTTTTTTTTTTTGACATTATCTTGCTCTTTCACCCAGGCTGGAGTGCAGTGATGCGATCTTGGCTCACTGCAACCTCTGCCTCCTGGGTTCAAGCAATCCTCCTGCCTCAGCCTTTCGAGTGGCTAGGCTTACAGGCTCCCGCCACTATGCCCAGCTAAGTTTTGTATTTTTAGTAGAGAGGGGGTTTCATCATGTTGGCCAGGCTGGTTTCAAACTCCTGAACTCGTGTGACTGCTTGCATCAGCTTCCCAAAGTGCTGGCATTAGAGGCGTGAGGTACGGTGCCCAGCCTGTTCACATACTCATTTAACACCCGTTTTCCGAGGCCTCTCGAGAGCCTGATCCTGTCTAGGATGATGCTGGAGACCGAAAGAATCAGATGCTACACTGCACTCCCCAAACACCAGTAGCACAATTCAGAGTGAGATATGGCAGTAACAGAGAGGTCTTCATAGCACAGAGACTCAGAGAAGCCTCAGTCCAGCCTGGGCTCTGAGTTCACAGCCCTGGAGAGTGCATCTGCTAACAGGTTGTCACGTTATTGTTTCCTGAAGCAACTGGAACCCTTTCCAGTCATTCAGCAAACGTTTTTTGGCTGGTTCAGTGGCTTATGCCTGTAATCCCAGTGCTTTGAGATGCCGAGGCGGGAGGATTGCTTGAAGCAGGAATTTGAGACCAGCCTGGGCAGCGTAGTGATAACTCATCTCTAGAAAATATATAAATAAATAAATTATCCAGGTGCGTTGATTCATGCCTATAGTTCTAGCTTCTCAGGAGGCTGAAGTGAGAGGATCCCTTGAGCCCAGCAGTTCGAAGCTGCAGTAAGCTGTGATCACGCCACTGCACTTCAGCCTGTGCAACAGAGCAAGACCAGGTCTCAAAAAAAAAAAGAAAAAAAAAGGTCGGACACGGTGGCTCACGCCTGTAATCCCGGCACTTTGGGAGGCCAGGGCAGGTGGATCACTAGGTCAAGAGATTAAGACCATCTTGACTAGCATGGTGAAATCTCATCTCTACTGAAAATACAAAAAAATGAGTGGTGCCTGCCTGTAGTCCCAGCTACTCGGGAGGCTGAGGCAGAATTGCTGGAAACCGGAAAACAGAAGTTGCAGTGAGCTGCAATGGCACCGTTGCACTCCAGCTTGGAGATAGGGTGAGACTGCCAAAAAAAAAAGAAAGGAAATGTAGTGCGCGCCTGTTCCTTGCCAGACCCCGTTGTTGATGCTGCAGTTAACCAGGCGAAGGCAGAAAGGGTGGGCCATGAGGTGCAAAGGCTGTGAGTTGGGAAGAATGCTGTTTAAGGACCCGTGAGAAGGCTGAAAATGAAGCTGGCCCTGGTCTGTAGAGGGTGGGGGTAGGTATGGATGCCGACATGCCCTGGGAGGTGAGGGGCGTGGCTTTCTGGCCCTCAGCAGTGAGACCTTGTTGTCCCCACCACCAGGGCATCCAGTTTTTGGTGGAGAACGAACTTCTGCAGAACACACCCGAGGAGATCGCCCGCTTCCTGTACAAGGGCGAAGGGCTGAACAAGACCGCCATCGGGGACTGCCTGGGGGAGAGGTATGGCCACCACTCGGCTCCCATGGGGCCCCGCCCACCCGCCCCCCGTGCCCAACTCCTGCCCTCACACTGGCAGCTCACAGGTGCGACATCAGAGAGGCTCTGGCAGATCATCCTTCAGACTAACAGAATGGACTGACGCAGGGGTTGGGGAGCCTGCGGCCAGCTGAGAGCATCTGGGGATGCAGGGACCTTCTGGAATTCCCCGGGCAGGGGGCTCTGGAGAGGCATCCATTTATATCTGAGCAGTGGAGAACATCTCTCAAGTATGGGTGCATGAGAACCATGAGTGGACCACAGCTGTGCATGGGCACCGTGTGGTCAGCTGGGAGCTGTGGGGACTGTTGGGCCCTCGTGGACGCCTAGGAGTTGTGAGGATCATTTGGAAGCCTAGGGTGCATGGGACTGGACTGGAATCACGATTGGAGGCCATCTGTGGACATCTGGGAATCAGGGATTTATAGAGATCTGGGGTGTGTGGGACGCATCTCTGGATGTCTGGGGGCTGTGGGGACTGTCTGGACATCTGGGGAGTGTGGGGATCATTTGAGAGAGGTGATGGTCAGTGGCATATGTGCTTGCTGCATTTCTCCCAACTGTGCAAAGGTCCGCCCTAAGCAGGGTTCCCAAGGCAGGTATTCCTCCCAAGAGTGTGTTCTCAGCATCCCCCACCCCAGGGCCAGGCCTGTGTGGGAGCCCAGCGGGAAGCTTCACCCTCTGCAGAGGGCAGCTGTGGTGCTGAAGAGGGGGCACGGCTTCCCCCGGGGCCCTACTTCTGCCCACTTCTACCCCGTCCTTCTAGGGAAGAGCTGAACCTGGCAGTACTCCATGCTTTTGTGGATCTGCATGAGTTCACCGACCTCAATCTGGTGCAGGCCCTCAGGTGAGTGAGGGGGAGGGGTTTGGAAGGGCAGGAATGTACCTGTCAGGGCTTTTCTAGTCATAAGCAACAGACCTTACTCAAGAAAAACACAGAAACAGGCCGGGCTCGGTGGGTCACGCCTGTAATCCTAGAACTTTGGAAGGCTGAGGTGGGTGGATCACCTGAGGTCAGGCGTTCAAGACCAGCCTGGCCATCATGGTGAAACCCCATTTAAAAAAAAAAAGAAAAAGAAAAAGAAAAACAAACAAAAACTAGGGAACTGAGTGCATCCTATACCGTCAGAGTCCAGGGTTATGACCTCCTTCAGGCATAGCTATATCCAGGAGCCAAAATAGTGGCAGAAAGTCAACTTTCTCTGTCTCTTGTGTTCACCACTGTGTCACCATTGCACTCTGCAGACCCTTTTATCTGATAACAAACTCAGATCTGTCTAGCAAACTTAGCAGAAAGAGGCTATTTCTGTAGCAATCCACAACACTCCCGTGGCCAGTGCCCATTGGTCAGATTGGATCATGTGACCTGAACAAACTGCTGAGGCCGGAAGTTTGGGATTCCTCATGGAGCAGTTCCTCACCCAGGGACCGAGAGTGGGGACGGGCTTCTGCCAGCCCTGGCACTCACTCCTGGCCCCTCCCCAACCCAGGCAGTTTCTATGGAGCTTTCGCCTCCCCGGAGAGGCCCAGAAAATTGACCGGATGATGGAGGCCTTCGCCCAGCGATACTGCCTGTGTAATCCTGGAGTTTTCCAGTCCACAGGTGCGGCCCGACTCCTGGGTCCTGGGAAAGAGGAGACTGGCCGGGCTCCTAGGTCTGAGGGAGGGAAGGGACTGGGAGACGGGAATCCTGGGTCCTGGGGAGGGGGGTGCTGGAGGCTGACATGCCTGGGTCGTCACCACCTGCCCTGTCCCATGCAGACACGTGCTACGTGCTGTCCTTCGCTGTCATCATGCTCAACACCAGCCTCCACAACCCCAATGTCCGCGACAAGCCAGGCCTGGAGCGCTTTGTGGCCATGAACCGGGGCATCAACGAGGGCGGGGACCTGCCTGAGGAGCTGCTCAGGGTCAGCCCCTATTCCCTGCCCCTCAGTCCTGTCCCTCTTCCTGCCACAGACACCCCCACCCCACCTGTGGTCTCCTAGTGCCTGAACTGTCTGCCCAGGGTCGCTGGTGTCTGCCCTCACCCCCCCAGATGGCGTGGTCTTGCCAGCTCGTGCGTGATCTTTCCCGTCTCTCTTGCTGCTTCTCTTCTTGACTGTCTCAGGCACTGGCCCTGACTTTATTGGCCTGTCTTTCTGTGTCTCTGCCTGTCGCACCTCCCGGCTCTCAGTTGGCCTCATTCCCCATCTGTCTGTTTCTCTGAGGATGCCGCTGGCTTCTCCACCTGTCACCTGGGCATCTCTTCTTTTTTTGGTGGGGGGACGGAGTTTCGCTCTTGTTACCCAGGCTGGAGTGCAATGGCGCGATCTCGGCTCACCACAACCTCCGCCTCCTGGGTTCAGACAATTCTCCTGCCTCAGCCTCCTGAGTAGCTGAGATTACAGGCACGCGCCACCATGCCCAGCTAATTTTTTTGTATTTTTAGTAGAGACGGGGTTTCACCATGTTGACCAGGATTGTCTCGATCCCTTGACCTCGTGATCCACCCACCTCGGCCTCCCAAAGTGCTGGGATTACAGGCTTGAGCCACCGCGCCCGTCATGGGCATCTCTTCTTTCCTCTCCCACCTCGGCCTCCCTCCACTTCTCTGCCTTCTACTTGCGCCCTCCCCAGCCCAACCCCTCTCTCTTCCCCACCATCAGTCATCCCACCCCAGGTCTCACTGCTCCCCCGACCTTGAGTAACCCTGGGGGGTCCTAGGGGCCTGGAGTGGCTGATACAGCCTTTGCTTCTCAGAACCTCTATGACAGCATCCGAAATGAGCCCTTCAAGATTCCTGAGGATGACGGGAACGACCTGACCCACACCTTCTTCAACCCAGACCGGGAGGGCTGGCTCCTGAAGCTGGGTACGTGCCCTCCCGACCCCGCTGGTCCCTCCTCGGGGGAAGTTAGCGGGCCTGGGCCTGGACTCAGCTTCCGCACAAATCTGCTGGGGCAAATGATTTGACCTCTCTGAACCTCAGTTTTCCACACCCAAAAAATGGGGCTGAAAATAAAATCAGTCCTGTGCGCTGGGCCTGGCCTGTAGGAAGTAATTCCCAGCCCCTTCCCTTTATCCACAGATGTTCACGGAGCCCTCTGTGCCAGGCCCTGAGCTGGGCTGAGGAGGCAGTGAGAGGCAGGTGATGCTGTCCCTTTGTGGGGGAGAGTTCACTCTGGCTTCTCTCCACTGCGTTAACCCAGCCTGAGGGAGACCCAGCTCTGGAACCTGTTATTCCCCTTGGCAATAGTTGAGGAATTCCCAGGATCCCAGGCAGGACCGACCCTGCCCTCCAAGGCATCAGGTCTAGAGCCCTGGCTGTCCCAGGCACCATCCTTCCCGAAACGCCACCCACAGGCAGAAAAGAACCCAACAAGCGAGGAAATCAATCCCAGATTCTGGCTCCTGGCTGCAGAGTGAATAACCAGGGCTGGTGCAGATGAGTTGGGAGGCCCAGCAGGGATGGAGAGGGGAGTCTTCGTCGTAGCATGTGGCCATGTGGCAATGGTGCATTCACGGTTGGTTAGTGTGGATCAGACAGGATGGTAGTGCGGTGAGGAGCTAGCACAAGGATTGGAGTTGTTCTCAGCCCTGGCTGCACGTGAGACTCGCCTGGGCACTTGGAAAACTCCGGTGGCCAGGCCACAGACTTCTGAAGTCAGGCTCTCAGAGCAGGAGGGCCATCAGTCATGGTTAAAGCTCCCCAGGAGCTCCCAATGTATAGGCGAGGTTGAGAGCCACTCTCGCTCTGTTGCCCCAGGCTGGTGTGCAGTAACTCGATCTCAGCTCACTGCAACCTCTCCCTCCCAGGTTCAAGTGATTCTCCTGCCTCAGCGTCCTGAGTAGCTGGGATTACAGGCATGCGCCACCATGCTGGGCTAATTTTTGTATTTTTTTTTAGTAGAAACGGGGTTTTACCATGTTTGTCACACTGGTCTCTTAACTCTTAACCTTGTGATCTGCCCACCTCGGCCTCCCAAGGTGCCGGTATTACAAGTGTGAGCCACTGCACCTGGCCTGAACTGTGCTCTTAAACCAGGGCGTCACCACCTCAGCAGATGCCAGGGTTTTCTGGTAAACGTAAAATATGCAAGTCAGGCTGGGCGCAGTGGCCCACTCCAGTAATTTCAGCACTTTGGGAAGCCAAGACAGGAGGATTGCTAGAGGCCAGGACTTTGAGACCAACCTGGGCAATATAATGAGACCACCATCTCTACAAAAAAAAATAAAAAGCCGGGCCTGGTGGCGCAGGAGGATTGTCAAGGCTGCAGTGAGTCGTGATCGTGCTGCTGCACTGCAGCCTGGGCGGCAGAAGACCCTCTCTCTCTCAAATAAAAATACAACATGCAAATCACTGTTCAGCCAACCCCAGTCCCCATCCCTGTATTGGATCCAAGGGAGGCAGACCGTGCTGGGGGAAAGAGAGTCCTGGAGGTGCCCTGGCAGTGAGCAGGCTAGAAGGAGAAGCAGGAAGACGCCAGCCTCACAAGGAACTGCTTCCCTCAAAACTGCTCCTGTGCCGGGCGCGGTGGCTTACGCCACTAATCCCAGCACTTCGGGAGGCCAAGGCAGGCAGATCAGGAGGTCAAGAGATCGAGACCATCCTGGGCAACATAGAGAAACCCTGTCTCTACAAAAATACAAACATTAGCCGGGCGTGGTGGTGCACGCCTGTAGTCCCAGCTACTTGGGAGGCTGAGGCAGGAGAATTGCTTGAACCCGGGAGGTAGATGGAGGTTGCAGTGAGCCAAGTTCATGCCGTTGCACTCCAGCCTGGGCAAGAGCGAAACTCCATCTCAAAAAAAAAAAAAAAAACACTCCCATAACCTTTCCCATTTCCCAGATGAGGAAATTGGGGCTCGCTCCTCATTTTGGCTCTGGGCCCCATCTAAGGCTGCCCAGCCCCAGGGACATTTCTGGCCAGAAGCCTCTGTGCCCGTTATGCCAGTTAAAGAGAGGTAGTAGTGCAGGAGTGGAGATGGGCGACCGCAGTTCCTACTTCGTGGCTAATAAAAGCCATTGTGACTTTCACTGTTTAACCCTGGGCCCATGAGGAAGCCAGAAGCGGGTCCTTTTGCCACAGGAAGGTGTGGGCCCAAGTGAGTCTCCAGGCTGGAGTCCAGAGAGGCCAAGAGAGTGTCCTGAGGTCACACAGCCAGTTTGTGCAGGAGCTGAGATGGGCCCCCACACCCAGCTCAGACCAAAAACGGGTTTTTGCCTCCTCCCGCCTACAGGGGAGAGGCACTTTCACCATGTCAAGGGAGGACCCTCCTGGCCTGGGACAGACTTTAGGGGGTGGGCTGGGGCCCTCTGCCCATGCAAGGGGTTTTCCAGGCTTCCACCTGGGGCTCAGGGCCCTTGGCCTCTCCGGGAGGGGGGGCCCCTGGCCATCCGCCCCTCATGTGGATGTAACTGGTTTTCTTCCCTCTCTCTCCCTCCCCTCCCTCTGCGTATTTCTCTGTCTCCGTGTTTGCCTCTCCGCCCTGCCCCCTGCACATCCCACCCCGCATCCACCCTATTTCTGTCGCCTGCGGCTCTTGGGGTGCTCCGCTCTCCCGCCTTCCCTTCTCCTGCACCTGGTCCTGCCTGCTTTCTCGCTGTCTGCCCCAGGAGGTAGGTACACGATCTGTTCTTGTCCCCCATCACTAGAGAGGGGAGGGGGCTGCCCTGGCCTCCGGCCCACAGCAGGAGGGGACTGACAAACCTAGAAAAGTGGAACCCCAAGCTGGGGGTGGACGATTCCTGGAGCCCCAACATGCCTGTCCCTGCTTGTCTGTCTCCCCCCACGCAGCAGCTTTGTCCTAGGCCCCAGGAGCCCCGCCTTTCCCGCGCCTGCTTTGCTTCTTACGCCCCTCCCACCTCCCAGAGGCCCTGTCCCCCTCCGTTGAGCCCAGGCCCCCTCCCACCCCTTCCCTTTCAGGGGGCCGGGTGAAGACGTGGAAGCGGCGCTGGTTTATCCTCACAGACAACTGCCTCTACTACTTTGAGTACACGACGGTGAGGGTGACCCGGGCTGGGCTCTGGGGTCCTGGGAGGAGGGGCTGGGAGCCTGCACTCGTGGGGCTGAGAGAGGCCGAGTGGAGTGAGGATTTGGAAGTCTGAGTTCTATCCAACTTGCTTCTTCAGGACAAGGAGCCCCGAGGAATCATCCCCCTGGAGAATCTGAGCATCCGAGAGGTGGACGACCCCCGGAAACCGGTGAGACCCTCTCTGTACACCTTCCTGCCAGGGCGGGCCACCTCTGCCCAGGGCTGGCTCTCACCTTCACCCTTCCCCTCTCATCCGCAGAACTGCTTTGAGCTTTACATCCCCAACAACAAGGGGCAGCTCATCAAAGCCTGCAAAACCGAGGCGGACGGCCGGGTGGTGGAGGGGAACCACATGGTGTACCGGATCTCAGCCCCCACGCAGGAGGAGAAGGATGAGTGGATCAAGTCCATTGAGTGAGCCTGGACCCCTCGGTGTGAGGGAGGAGGGGCTGGGGCCTGGACCCCTCGGTGTGAGGGAGGAGGGGCTGGGGGCCTGGACCCCTCGCTGTTGGGGAGGAGGTGCTGGGGGCCTGGACCCCTCGGTGTGGGGGAGGAGGGGCTGGAGGCCTGGACTCCTCGGTGTGGGGGAGGAGGGGCTGGGGCCTGGACCCCTCGGTGTGGGGGAGGAGGGGCTGGGGCCTGGACCCCTGCGTGTGCGGGAGGAGGGGCTGGGGGCCTGGACCCCTCGGTGTGGGGGAGGAGGGGCTGGGGCCTGGACCCCTGCGTGTGCAGGAGGAGGGGCTGGGGCCTGGACCCCTCGGTGTGAGGGAGGAGGGCCTGGGGCTTGGACTCATGGGTCTGAGGGAGGAGGGGCTGGGGCCTGGACCCCTCGGTGTGGGGGAGGAGGGCCTGGGGCTTGGACTCATGGGTCTGAGGGAGGAGGGGCTGGGGCCTGGACCCCTGGGTCTGAGGGAGGAGGGCCTGGGGCTTGGACTCATGGGTCTGAGGGAGGAGGGGCTGGGGCCTGGACCCCTGGGTCTGAGGGAGGAGGGCCTGGGGCTTGGACTCATGGGTGTGAGGGAGGAGGGACTGGGGGCCTGGACTCCTTGGCCCTCATCCTGGGATCCCTTCCCTTCTACAGGGCAGCTGTGAGTGTGGACCCCTTCTATGAGATGCTGGCAGCGAGAAAGAAGCGAATTTCAGTCAAGAAGAAGCAGGAGCAGCCCTGACCCCCCCACCCCCAACTCCATTATTTATTACGGAGCTGCCCCACCTGGGTGGCCGGACCCCTGGGCCTTGGGGCTGTGAATCCTGGTTCCCTGTTTGGAAAATTCACCACCTCTAGCTCCTCTCTGTTCTTTGTAATTAACACACTGTTGGTAATCTTATTAATTATTTAACCACTCAGCCTGCTGATCCCCTCACTTCTTGGGGTTGACAGAGCTGAGGTGCTTGGTGGAGGCAGCCTGTTCCCCCTGGACAGCGGCCTGGACCCGCCTGTCTCTGTGGGTGCTTGCTTGGTGCAGCCCCAGGGCCTGTCCCCGGTGGGTCTGTTCTGTTTCATCCTGAGCCCAGCAGGAGTGGAGTAAAGGGTGAAGGTTAATACGGTGGGAGTCGGGTTAGAATTGGCCAGGGATGGAATTCTTAGCAGGATGGATGCAGAGGTTCTGGGTCAAGGTCTAGCATTCATTCTAGAAGTTTCTTGACAGCCATCAGCCAGTTAGCTACAGCTGTCAGCTGGTTCCCGTCTTTGCTTTCATTGGGCTTGAGGTCTTTGAGGAGACAGGAGATAAAGCTGATGAGGTTGTGAGCTGGGCCTGGACTTTGAGGACAGCCTGGAGCCGGAAGAACTATAAATGCAACCACCTCAGGGAGGGTGAGGGAAGGATGAGTTGGGAGGAGGTGGCCCATGTGCTGGGCACGGCTAGTTGAAGGGCCTTGCTGATGGGGTGTCCCGAAGTGGACTGGGCAGCTTTAGATAGGCCAAGTGGGCAAGGCTTCTCTGTCCCTGAAGGATCAGTCGCCTCTGGAGGACATTTTGTGTCAAGGATAGGGCTGAGGACCTGTGTTCTGAACGTCTTTCCTGGGATTCCTGACAACCAAAGAAATATGAGGACTGCCTCTTTGAAGGTGAAGTCTTGACTTGTGGAGTACCCCTGAATCCTGGGCTAAGGCCAGTGCCCTTTTGCCCTCCAACTGGGGAATACGTGGTGTCCCCAAAGAACAAGGGCTCGTGGATCCCGAGAAGGGTGCGATGGCGGATTGGGAGGCCCCATGTCACTCTCACGCCGGCCTTTGAAGACAAAGAACTCCTTAAATTAAAAACCAAAAAACTCCCGGCAGGGTCCGGGACCAGCGCGCGGGTGGGGGAGGCGCCTGTAGCCCCGGGGCGTGCCGGGAGTTGTAGTCCCGCCCACCCGCGGTGTTCACTGTTAAGCTCGCCAAAGGGGTGCGGTGCTTTGGAATTTCGGGCCTTGATCCAGGTCCCGTCCTTGGCCAGAGGCACCTGCCAGCCTGAAGGGCCTCGCAACGCAGGGAGCCTGCGCCCCTCCGCGGGAGGGTTGTCTGCAGTTCCTGGTAGGCTGTGCGGCTCCCCGGCCACGGGAGAGCCAAACCCGAGGTTTCCCGGGCGTCGCAGTCTCCCGAGACTCCGTGGCGGCCTTTGCCTTTATCTTAGTCGGGTCCCGTACTTTCGTGGAGAGTGCGGAAAAGGCTTTGACCGCGGCGGCCCCGGGGGCTGGTGGGAAATGGAGTTCCCAGACGAGAAAGTAGAATTCGCGACTTCTCTTTCCCACAGGTGCCAGGGAAATGGAGTCGTCGACCCAAGAAGGTCGTAGGAGATGAGGTCCTGGGGTAAACAGCAGGTCCCGCCACTGGGTCACCCTTTCCTGTCGCCTCCCCGGATGGACGGCGTGCAGGGCGGCCGGCGCCGTGGCAGGCAGAGGCAGGAAGAGGCGCGGAGCCTGCTCGTGGCGAGGAGGGGAGTGCGGTGGGATGGGAGGGCAGAGGCAAGCGGCCCATGGCGTGGGGCCTGGCGCCCCGCGAGGGCCTCTAGGTGAATTCATAGCAGGATGGAAGCCGTGCAAGGCCAGGAAGCAGGGGCCTGACGTGATTAGATTGGGGGTGCAGGATAGCGGGGCTGTGGAGGTGGAGAACGGTGGGGCACTCCAGGAGCCTTCAAAGAGGAGCCAGCAGGACTTGCTGAGAGCTGGGGCAGCTGGTGAATGACAGTCCCGTGACTGAGGTGGTCGAAAGGGGGTCTTTTAGCGGAAATCAGTCATTCTGTTTTGACCAAATTAAGCTGGAGATGCCTGGAAAACATTCCAGCCAGGCTGCAGTCACTTCACATTGACCTCCAGTATTGCCCACAATCCTTATTCCCCCAGGGACTGAGGATTCTGGTTTTTGGGCCCCTCCTCACCCAGAACACCCAAGCTCCCAGCCCGCTTTTTTTTTTTTTTTTTTTTTTTTTTTTTTTTTTTTTTTTTTTGAGATGGAATCTTGCTTGCTTTGTCTCCCAGGTTGAAGTGCAATGGCACGATCTCGGCTCCCTGCAACCTCTGCCTTCCAGGTTCAAGCAATTCTTTTGCCTCAGCCTCCTGAGTAGCTGAGGTTACAGGTGTGTGCCACCATGCCCAACTAATTTTTGTATTTTTAGTAGAGACAGGGCTTCACCATGTTTGCCAGGCTGGTCTTGAACTCCTGACCTCAGGTGTTCCATCTGCCTCAGCCTCTCGAAGTGCTGGGATTACAGGCATGAGCCACCATGCCCGGCCTCAGCCTAGTCCTTCAGGCGGCTATGGTTTGGATACCGTTTGTTCTCACCAAAACTTCATGTTGAGATTCAGGCTCCAGTGTGACGGGTCTTGGGATGTGGGGTCTAATAGGAGCTGTGTGGTCTGGAGGTGGATTCCTCCTGGCGAGATTAATGCCTGCCTTTGTGGGGTGAGTGAGTTCTCACCCCTGGGAATTTGGGAATTCGGTTTTCTCTCCCTTGCTTCCTTGAGCGCCAAGTGGTCTCTGTGCACATAGCCGCTTCCCTCCACTCTCCACCAGGAGCAAAAGCAGCCTCAAGGGGCCGGGCGCGGTGGCTCACACCTGTAATCCTAGCACTTTGGGAGGCCCAGGTGGCTGGATCATGAGGTCAGGAGATCGAGACCATCCTGGCCAACATGGTGAAACCCCATCTGGTGAAACCCCATCTCTACTAAAAATGGAAAAAAAAAAAAAAAATTAGCCAGGTGTGGTGGTAGGCACCTGTAATTCCAACTACTGAGGAGTCTGAGGCAGGAGGATTGCTTGAACCCAGGAGGCAGAGGTTGCAGTGAGCCGAGATTGTGCCCTTGCACTCCAGCCTGGGCAACAATGCTAGACTTGGTCTTAGAAAAACAAACAAACAACAGAGCCTCAGGGATGAGGGAGGTCCTCACTGAGTGCACCTGCCCCATCTTGAACCTTCCAGCCGTCAGAATCTGAGCCAAATTAACCTCTTCCTTTATAAAGACCCAGCCTCCGGTCTTCTGTCAGAGCAACAAAAATGGACTTAGCACGAGTCAAATTGTGTCCCTGCCACAGAAAAAAGCAAACAAAAACTTAGTATTACAGTTCTAACCCCCAGCATGTCAGAATGTGGTCTTATTAGGAAATAAGGTCACTGCAGATGTAATTAGTTCAGATGATGTCATTCATGTGGGCCCTAATCCAATAGGATGCATGTCCTTATAAAAGTTTGGACAGACACAGACATGTAGAAAGAACGCCATGTGGAGGTGAAGGTAGAGGTGGGGGTGATGCCTTTACAAGCCAAGGAAAGCCACAGCTGCTAGCACACCCCCAGAAGCCAGGGAGAGGCCGGGACTCATCCTCCCTCACAGCCTCAGGAGCAGCCAGCTCTGCCCACGCCATCGCAGACTTCTGACCTCCAGAAATGGGAGACCATCAGTTTTCTGTGATTTAAGCCACTCATTTTGAGGTACTTTGTTTTATCAGCCTATAGCAGTTATATCAGTTTGTTATAACTAACAAACCATGTCTCCCTCAGGCCCAGGAATTGGGGACCCCTGCCCCTCCTCCCTCAGACCCAGAAATCCTCAGACCCAGAAATCCAGGCCCCAGCTCCTCCTCCCTCAGACCCAGGAGTCCAGGCCCCCAGACCTCCCTCCCTGAGCCCCAGGAGTCCAGGCCCCAGCCCCTCCTCCCTCAGCCTAGGAGTCCAGGCCCCCACACCTCCCTCCCTCAGCCCCAGAATGTCCAGCTCTCACCTTCTTCCTGGCATGGTTCATGCGGCACCCACCCTGTGGCAGGTGTCTCAAAATCACATCAAGCGCCACTGAGTCTCCCAGCAGGGGCAGTATTGAGAAGACATTAAAACCTTATCCTCTGACTCTCCCTTTCCCCAACCCCCCAGGATCTACCTTCGACCCTAATGCCACCAGCATCTTAACTCCTGGCCAGTCTACACTACAGCCTCCGTAACAGAGGGAAGGGGCTGGGTTCCCACCCCTTGCTTCTTCTCTCTTCCCACACCCAAACTACATCCCTCAAATACACCAGTGATCCTGGTACCCAGGTGGTGGGGGACAGGTTCAGGCAAAGAGATCGGAGCCGCAAAGACAGACCCGGTCAGAGGGAAAAAGAGGCAGAAACAGAATCCAGGAGAAACCGAGAGCAAGAAATAGAGACAGCCAGGTGCGGTGGCTCACGTCTGTAATCCCAGCACTTTGGGAGCCCGAGTCGGGTGGATCACCTGAGGTCATGAGTTCGAGACCAGCCTGGCCAAGATGGTGAAACCCCATCTACTAAAAATACAAAAATTAGCCGGGCACGGTGGCAGGCACCTGTGATTCCAGCTACTTGGGAGGTGGAGGCAAGAGAATCACTTGAACCCAGGAGGACTGAAGTGAGCCGAGATCACACCACAGCACTCTGGCCTGGACGACAGAGCGAGACTCTGTCTCAGAACAAAAAGAGAGAAAAGCGCAAGGCAGAAGGACATAACAGAGACAAGAGGAGGTGACACGGAGACACAGACAAGAAAAAATGTGGAGGCAGGAGGAACTCAAGACAGAGACATGAAAATAGAATTAGACAGGGAGGAGGAGGCTGAGAGCAGGAGACTCAGATGGAGAGACAGGAAAACTCCAGATCAGATGGAGACCAAAACTGGGGCAGGGTGATACAGGGAGCCAGAAGGACGGAAACGGGGTGGGGGGGCACAGAGAGGTGCAGTGAGGGTACAGGCAAGAGATGAGAATGTCAGTGAGGTGGGTGGTCACACGGAAAAACAGGTAAACTGAGGCAGCACCATGGTGGGCGGGGAAGTGTAGACCCTGACCTTCACGGGGCAGGCAGTGCCGACCTGAGGTGTGTGGGCCATGGTCCTGATCCAGTGTGGGCATGAGCAGG